TACCAGATCCACACTAACTAACAAAACATTGGTCCTTCGAGCCGGATCTGGGCGAGGCGCGGTTTTCTCGTGCAAATCGGTTTTCGAGTCGCGAACGACCGAGTGTACAAAGACGAAAGACGAGTATACGTGCGCGGTGAGAACAGTTTTCGCGTGATTAGACGAGCATAATTCCGTCAAGCCGAAAGGTCGCGTCGTTGTTGGCCTCACGTAACGGTCAAGCAAAATGTCGGCGTTCGAGAAGCTCGTAAGAAAGCGGGCGTACATAAAAGGGCGCGTTACTTCCATAAATCGATGGATGCAAACGTGCGTCATTTCCGAATCAACGGAACACGAGATCGATACGTTTTTAAGCGCACTGGATCGACATCTCAAGGATTTCTCGCAGATATAGGACCAAATCGACGAACAAGATGGCGTATCTGCCGACGAGCAACAGAAGGAACGGGGCGATTTCGAAGACGGCCATCTTAAGACCGAGTCGTCCCTCCGCTTGTTGCAAGCACGAACTCGAGCGGCGCAACAGGCGACCGCAGCCGCAGCGCCATCCAGCGCCGCGCAACGAAGCCAGTCATCAAACACACCGACGACTGCATCTGTCAAACTTCCCGAGATCAAACTAACCCCATTCGACGGTGAATGGGAGAACTGGTTGACTTTCAAGAATATATTTACGGAGCTTATCCAAAACAATGTGCGATTGAACGACACACAGCGGTTCTATTACTTACAGTCATACGTAAGCGCGGGATCGGCGAGGCAATACGTCGAACTTCCGCTCACCGCCGAAAACTATGCCGTCGCGTGGCAGCAGCTGACGCAGCATTACGATAACGAAGCTCGCATTATAAAGAAACACATCAAGAATTTCTACGATTTGAAGATAACACAAGAAGACTCCGCATCATCCTTGCAGACTCTGATTGACGGAGTGCGGCGAAACTATCATGCCTTGAGGGCTCTCAAGCAACCGGTTGACAAGTGGGATGCGTTTCTCACGTATCATATTACGACTAAACTCGATGCAGCGTCAAGGAAGGAGATCGAATCAAAGGCTCCGACCGACAGAATACAAACCTTCGAGGAAATCATGACAGTGCTAGAAGAACGAGTGCGCGTGTTAGAGGCAATTGCGACAAGTGTGCGCGCGAAACCGGAAAGGTTCAGTAAGGCCTTTGTAGCTACATCAAAGGTTATGTGTGGCATATGTCAAGCGGAGCATTCAGTGTTCAAGTGCAAGAAGCTAACGGACCTGCCGGTAAATCAAAGAATAGCAGCAGCGCGTAAATTAAATCTCTGCATTAATTGTTTAGGCAGTTCACATCGTGCGATAGATTGCAAATCCGGAGGCTGCCGAATCTGTCAAAGGCGGCATCACACGCTACTCCATTTGAAGACAAACGCGCTCGAGTCTCCGACACAGCCAAACGCGATCGACACAAAGGATGCCTCGTCTAACGGAAGTAAACAAGAAGCTAACGTGAGCTCATCGACAACGACTTGCAATTTGAATGTTCGTCCGGAACCTAAAGTCAAGCAAGTATTACTAGCTACTGCGATAATCAAAATTTATGATTTTAGTGGACAGGAGCATCTAGCTCGAGCACTCCTTGACGGGTGCTCTCAAAACAGCTTTATAACTACACGCATGTATCAAACGTTGCGACTGAAGGGAAGAAGGGTTAACCTTCAAGTAACTGGATTGAATGATGCTCAAACACGGGCACATATTATTGTACGCACAACTATAGGATCACGCATCTCGTCCTTTAGAACACCTATTGAACTGCTAGTTACAGAACATATCACTCAGAATATGCCGATCTGCCCCATCGAGGATGCTATGCAGATTCCGACGACCGTTCAATTGGCTGATCCGCAATTTCACACGCCCTCCAAGATTGACTTGCTAATTGGAGCCAATATTTTCTGGGATCTACTCACGGGAGATCAAATCGCGATGAAGCATGGATTTCCAAAACTACATGGCACGGTCCTAGGTCACATAATAGGAGGACGAATTCTGGAGAAAAATCGCCAGCCGAAACTGACAGTGTCACTTGCATGTACGGTGAATAATTTGAACGAGCAAATACAAAGATTCTGGTTGCAAGAGAAAGTGATCAAGGATCGGGCATTATCACTCGAAGAAAGGGAGTGCAAGCTACATTACAAGCAAGCAACGGTGAGAAAGCCGGACGGAAGATACTCCGTGTCACACCTTACGAAGCCGGAGATCACGAATCTCTCCGATACCAAGATGGCAGCATTGCAGCAGTTTCTTCGGTTGGAGCAACGATTACGAAGAGAACCTGAAATACAGAAATTGTACCACGACTTCATGCAAGAATACATCGATTTAAAGCACATGGAGCCGGTAAACGAGACATCTGATTCTGAGCCAGAGGCGGTGCAATACTACTTGCCGCATCATCACGTTCTTAAGCCCAGTAGTACTACTACAAAACTACGAGTGGTTTTTAATGCCTCGTTTAAGATAGAACCACATCTATCACTTAATGACGTTCTGAAGGTAGGTCCCACGATACAATCAGACCTATTTACCGTAATTCTTCGTTTCAGAACTTACATATACGCACTGACGGCCGACATCATTAAGATGTACAGGCAGATAGAAATACACAAGGATCAAAGATGTTTACAACGCATTTGGTGGCGTCCAAATTTTCTTGCGGAGATTCTCAGTTATCAGCTTAACACTGTGACATATGGAGAGGCCGACGCTCAGTTTCTAGCAACACAGACCGTACAACAATTAGCCGAAGATGAAATGAAGGATTTCCCTGAGGCCGCTCGCGCAGTGATTGAAGATTCTTACGTTGACGACGTCACAACGGGAGCGTCGACGATTCAGCAACTTAAGGATTTGCAGCAACAATTACAATCTCTCATGCGGCGAGGCGGATTCGAACTACACAAGTGGGCATCCAATTGCAACGAGGTGTCTACGAACCCTGCAAGCAGCGTTGCCTTTCCCAAGGCTGATCAAACTCGCACACTAGGACTGATCTGGCAAACTGGAGACGATCAATTCGTACTAACGTGGGACAAGGTCGAGGAACGCCACAACTACTCGAAGAGAATGATCCTGTCTGAAATAGCTAAACTTTACGATCCTCTTGGACTCAGCGCACCATTGGTATTCTGGGCCAAGGTGTTAATGCAAGAATTGTGGAAGATTACAGATCTCCAATGGGACGACCCTCTACCAGAACCATTACAAGAAAAATGGATAACTTTCCGCAAGCAGCTCAATGTTTTAGTGGAAATCAAAATACCAAGATGTGCCCTCCCTCCGAATGCCGTCGCACTGGAACTTCATGGATTCGGGGACGCGTCTGAGCTCGGTTTCGGATGTTGCATTTATCTAAGGGCTCTTGATCAAATGGGCAACTACACCATAAATCTTTTGTGCGCTAAATCTAGAGTCGCGCCGCTGAAGAAGACTACCATTCCAAGACTGGAACTTCAAGCCGCGCTCCTACTAGCGGAGCTCGCCGCGAAGGTGACCGGCGCAATAGCATTGGTCTATCGACTCATCTGCCTCTGGACGGATTCAACAATTACTCTATATCGTATTCGATCGCAATCAAGTCGCTATACAACCTACGTGGCAAATAGGATTGCCCGCATACAAGAATTGAGCACGCCGGAGCAATGGAGACACGTTCCAGGCGAACTGAACCCAGCGGACTTGGTATCTCGGGGCCTTCTACCAGAGGCTCTCAGTAAGGCAGATAATTGGTTTCACGGGCCTGTCTTCCTAAAGTACGAAGAATCCGAATGGCCATCCCTACGGCTAGGGCGGACGGAATCCAACGACCAGACTGACGAGGAATTGAAAAAGGCCATCAACGTATCTTGCATAGCGACGGTAGCGGATCCCGTGATGAATTACTCGAGCTACACGAAAACGTTGCGAATCAGTGCCCGTTGCCGCAGATTCGTTGCAAATTGCAAAGCGACGCGAGACAGAAGAGACTATGGCCCTCTATCAGCCTCTGAATTGAATGAGGCCTTGCTGGGATTGATACGAGCTGCACAATCTGAGGACTTCGCTCAGGACATCAAGAAATTACGAGAATACGGTACTACTGATTACAAGGGCATAGTGCAGTCCCTTCGTCCCTACCTCGATGAACATCACATTCTTCGTGTAGGAGGTCGACTCCAGAACTCCGATCTGGAAGATAATCAGCGTCATCCGATGCTGCTACATGCGAAAAATAAACTAAGTAGACTAATCGCTCGACACTATCATAAAGCAAACCTGCACGCGGGACCTCAAGCCTTATTATACACCCTGCGGCAGCAATTTTGGATCATCGACGGACGCAACTTGTGTCGAAAAACGGTGCATAACTGCGTGCGCTGTTTCCGGGCGAAACCTATCATAGCGGAGCAAGTGATGGGCTAATTACCAGCAGCCAGAGTACAGCCAGCTCGACCATTTCTCCGAGTAGGCATTGATTTCTGTGGCCCGTTCAACTGTAAACCAAGGATACGGAGCAAAGCAATCCTCAAAACATACGTTTGCGTATTTGTGTGTTTCGCCATCAAGGCGGTTCACATGGAAATAGTCAACGACCTTACCACGGATGCATTTTTGGCAGCATTGAGGAGATTTGTCGCTAGGCGAGGTCGATGCACGGATATATTCAGCGACAATGGCACGAACTTCGTTGGAGGCAATCGCGCACTCCAGGAGCTTTATGAACTATTCCAAAATACAGAACACCAGGAAATCGTACAGCGATTCTGCGCAAATGAGGGCATCACTTGGCATATGATCCCTCCTAATTCTCCACACTTTGGTGGCCTGTGGGAGTCGGCGGTAAAGGCAGCTAAGCATCACATGCGCAGAGCTCTCGGAACAGCCTCATTCACGACAGAAGAACTGGGAACTGTCGTGACACAAATTGAAGCCTTTCTAAATTCCAGACCCCTCTCTCCCATGTCCTCCGATCTCTCTGATCTCGAACCTTTAACTCCTGGGCACTTTTTAATAGGTGCTCCATTAAACTCAATCATAGAACCCGATCTAACCGAACTAAAGCTAAACAGATTATCCCGATGGCAACTTATCCAACGCACGGTGCAAGAGTTTTGGAGACGATGGTCCAACGAGTACCTCAGCGAACTCCAATCTCTGAAGAAGTGGACGACGGTGCAGCCCAATATCCAGCCAGGATCGATGGTGTTGCTGAAGGAAGGCAATGTCCCTCCATTGAAATGGTTGCTGGGGCGAATAGTAGAGACCTTCCCAGGGCGTGATGGTTTAACGCGAGTTGTATCAGTTCGCACCGCGCATGGAACTTATAAACGTAGCATAGCAAAAACTTGTATCCTTCCGATGGATAATGATTAGTCTTTATGTTGAAATCGTCATTTTAAGGCGGCCGGCATGGTTGCAATCGAATAGTTTTAGAGTCGCATAGTTTTGTTTTTAGTTTGTTTTTCTCCGAGAGATGGAGCTCTGAGTTGCCACTTAAGGGGAACAGTTAATCTTACCAAAGATTCCGAGCGGTACGCAACGCGAAAGTAGTCCGTCTCACGTAAGATTTCCTACCAGTACGCCTCGCGATATCAGTCAAAGCGATTTCTTGTATAAATAAAGTTTTTGTACTCAGCAAGAAGTGTAGTGCTTCCGAAAATCACCCTTGCCCTACCAGATCCACACTAACTAACAAAACAGAGACCCTGCACGTTTTTAAAACTCGCGCCCTTTTTAAACGCGCAGTGGGGGGAGTTTGAAGGTCTAGTACTAGCCTGGCCATTTGCGAGAGTCCGTCCGGTCAAAGCAGCCACGGTGTTGTGAGCGCACAACGTAGTTAAGAATAAAGAATGCACTTGGCAACACTAAGTGCCTCCGATACGAAATCCGACCCTAGCGACGAAGACCGCTGACGCGAAGATCTGCACCAGTCTCGGGAATGACCAAATATAGTCATCCCGGACATCGAGGTATCAAAAACGCTGACAACTAAGTCAGCCATACCGAGCGGATAAAGCGCCCGCTTTTCCGACGAGCGGCGGGCAGTCGTCAGTCAACCATAAAACAATAACGTGCGTCGCGTATATAAAAGGTCGTAATTTCGCGAGTATCATAATTCAAATAAAAGGAATTGTATTGAAGATTAGAAGAGAAATATATTGGGCTGTAATTTTATACATCGTGACGAGTGTTTCTTCTCCGACCCGAGATTCCCGAATCCTGTGCCGACCCTGAGAGCAGCTCACGGCACCGGCACAACAACGGCAAAAAGTGAGAAGTGGGACGATAGGGTCTCTCAGACCCTGGTGAGGTAACAGCTTGACAAAAATGATATTTGTAAAAATACAAAGTATATAAATCTTATAAAAACAGTGTATTTATGCAATTTAATGATAGAAAAAATATTCTGTGTTGTATAAAAAGTAAAATCATTCGTTTCTCGGGCTTTACACGAGACGGTCATGTCTCTCAACCAAGTTTATATTCTTGCTCCATTTCCGTTCACCGCCCGTTTACACAATTTTTAACTATGACTCAAATATTTCTGTAATTTTGACGCACAATGATCAATCATTGTTAAATTAACTTGATAAGGATCCAAAGTAAGGGTTGAAACGACGTTATATCAATACTGCCAGTCAGGCCGACTCATACGTCTTGTTTTAAAAAGTAAAATATTGAATTTTATTGGTTTATAGAATCAAATAATACCTAGTTTTTTATGTGTTTATTTTTAATAAATAAAGTATTTTTTCATGCATTTTTATTGCATTTATTCAACATTTTTACCGATTTTATACAAAAAACATGAATTTTTACCTCTCCATAGCCGCCATTTTGTATTAGCCATATGAAACTTTTTGAAAAATATTTTGTTACTCTTCTACATGTTTATATTTCATGCCCAAGGTCGTAAGTTTTACTATTTAAAAAAAAATCTGTTTTTTAGAGACAATAATAATATAATTGATCAATTTTCTTCAAAATTATGAAATTTTACTTTGCAAAACAAATATACTTTTTGGAACCAATCGTTATGACACTAACTTCTTCTTAAAGTACAACTCTTGACGTATCAAATTATGTATTATAAAACCCTTGTATATTTTTTTAGTCAGTACTACGTCAATTTGTAAAAAAAAAAAACAAATTTTTTCGCTTTTTCAGAAAAACAAGTTTTCTTTTTTTTTATAACATTTACATTTTTTAATTTGGAATAATCTAACTTACACAGTTTTGTAGATCTTTAAAAGATGTATCGATTTAAAAAAAAACGTCAAATTGATGCATTTGTTTTAAAGATACAAGCTGGAGAAGACAGGGTCTCTCAGACCCTGGTGAGGTAACAAAGGAAAGTGAAAACGTAAGGTAACTGAGGATTAACATAAACGACCCTACAACATGATCGTCATGTCAGAGGAACGTGAAGTTGGCACCCAACTTTTACCAAATCAATTTTTTGTATAGGAAATTGTAGCATTTTGTTTGTAGATATTTGTAGTAACAATAATTTCGTTTGTATGTACATGGTGTGATCAAAAAATTTGGGGACTTCGCTCATAGAAGGAGTTAGAGAATCAAGGTCAGAATTTTCTTCTTGATAGGAATGGACCCCCGGGAAAAAATCTCTTATAATGTCTTATACTTAAATAAGTTTCAAAAAATTGTTATTTTCAAATGTTATTTTTTAAGTGTGCCACTTTATTATAAGAATGGACTCCACGATACAACTGAAACAAAAATTGTGCCGCTCCATAACGTAACGCGAGACAATGTCGTGTCTTTTGAGACCGTTCCTATAACACTGTTTGTCAAATTTTAAATACGAGAAACAGATCCCATCGAATGCCATCTATCGGATACTTTGAGATATAATATTGTGATCTGATTATATATAATCTTATATGACTAATATTTATATATAAGTTCATATATGATTATATTATTTTCAGTAGTTTAAAGTTTAAATTATAAGCCAAAAGTATATTCGTAGTTCGCCAACAATATAATAAACAATTAGACTTTCATTTCATCCGACTACAATTGTTCCATATTATTCCATGTTCCATATAATATTTCAAAAATATTTGAAAAAAGATTATAAAACCAATAATAAATTTTTTTAATATTTTGGTACGAGATTATAAAACAATAAATATGTAGATCTGAATTTTTAATATTTCAAAAATATATTATATAAAATATATCGATAAAAATATATCAATAAAATATTCTTAATAAAGGAAGATGCATGGTAGTATATCTTTCCGCGCTAGTTCGCAACGACCGACGCCGCTAGGCGGCGCATACCCAATGGTAAGACTAACAAGTAAATTTTAGTTGGGGGCTAATATAAGCAGGCCTCCGGCGAAACAAATGACATCCGCGAGACATATCTTTGCCAGTGATACAACGCAAGGCTAACACTGCTGCGATGATATAGATATACAAAATAGTATTTTCTAAAATAAGATGTAAATTTTTCAAATATTAAAAAATCTTTCAAACGTGAAACAATTACTGCTAATTGGGTTAAACACATTTTATTTTTTGAAGCAATATTTTTAAAAAATCTACAAAAATCTTATTGAATATATTTATTTGCAATCTTTTAAAAATATTTTTGAAAATATTTTTCTGACATGATCTAGCGGGCGTAAAAACATTCTAAAAATATTTTTGTGAGTTATTTTGATCTTCCTGAAAAATATTTTTAAAATATAAAAATATTTTGTGCTGTATGGGATATTATTGTCTATTGCAAATACGTTATAACTTTTAAACTATTCAACAACAAAAGGAAAATTACTACAAATAACTACAAACGATTCTGAAAGACATGGCGCAAGCGGATTCAAGATATCTTAAGGGGGTATTTTTGTGTAGAATTCTGTTTTTAGAGGTCACTTTTTAGAATAAAATAAATTTAAAACTGTTTGTTTTCTTTCTGAAATTTTTTTACACATATTTATTGTTGCTTTAAAAGCATGTATAAATTTTGTTGGAAAAAAAAATAAATTTAACATGTGGTTTTGTACGCTCGGGCACAAATGGTGCGCCTCTGATTGGCGACTAGTGTTGCGGACGTTGTGTGAACCTGAAAAAAACCAAACATATTCTTAATCTGTATGAGTGTTGTGAGAGTTGGTACCAGAATTAAGTCAAAATAATTTTTTTTCCTTTTTTTGTAACTCACTAAAGAAAAAAACGTAGGAAAAATCGGCACTCAACATTTAACATGCTGCCATTTTGTAAACAAATTTTTTTTCTGGCCGAATCTGGTATCAACCCTCACAACACTCATACAGATTAAGAATATGTTTGGTTCTTTTTTTCAGATACATACAACGTCCGCAACACTGGTCGCCAATCAAGGGTTTTTTCCGCGCACCATTGTGCCCGAGCACACAAAACTACGTGTT